CTTTATAAGCCATTACATCTACACATTTTTATGTATCCAGAGATTATATCATACACTCTGCTTATTTACGGTGCGGGAGGTAATTAAAACTGCAGTCTCTCCCTCCCATTTCTATTACCACAATCTGGTGCAACACCCATCTGCAGGAACATGCAGGAGACTTGCAGCCACCCAGATGAACAAAGCTGCAGGGTGCATATCCCATTTGGACCCTGCCTCATACCCTCTCTGTGCTCAGAACCTTGACACTCTACAAAGCATCACAAGATTCATTCAGCCACAGAAAGGAAGAGAAAACTTTAGTATGACTGCAAATGTGTCCCTCTGTTTCACATATCCCATTCTGCATCATATCTTACATTAAACTGACATTGGATAAAATAGGTAAAAATATTGGAAGGCATGATATTTTTTAATTGAGTCATGGCACTATTGTTATTTGATGTCCTAACAGTGATTGTTGTGTGATGAATCCATGTCCCTGGAAGTTGGGCAAGATAACTACAACCATCAGAGGTATAAGAAGGTCATCTAATTTCCTCGCATCTTGGTGAGTGCTCTAAACTTTTCTGACAATTATAGGAAAGTCAGGCCAATACCATTAATGTTTCCTGCAGTGCTTTATAGGAATGAGTCACGCCTGCACCTAATTTACAGATAAATTAATCAGTTGCCTAATTTTAGGAGGTCTTCCAGGCAGTTTTCCATAGAAACAGTTATGTGCCTGCATCCCAGAAATAGTCAGAAATTAAGAATTGCACCCTTCTTCACCATTTTTATCGCTGTCTTACATGAGTCCTTCCACAGCAGGAAGGTACTATGAATCTCACACTGAGGCAGTAACTCCTTACATCTTCTGCACAGGCAGTTTTTGGTACATATTTTCGGATTCTATCCAGGAATGCCGAGGAACAGTCCTTTCTGTACACTTCCAGCTTCTACAGAGCTCTGGAGGTTAAAAAAAAAATTTAAAAAATCTGTGTGTATGTGAAATACGGGTATAGTAGTATGACAGGAAATGGATTGGGATGACCAGGAATCATCCTCTGCTGCAGAAGCCGGACCAATAGTATCTAAACAATTCCTAGAGTATTTATCTGTTAAACATTAACTGAAAGAAGCATGGAAAGCTACATGGTGTTAGTTATGCTGCCATGGAAAACTCAGGAAGGGGAGAACTGGGCCTAAAACCTGAAATAATTCCTTCCTTTAATAAAATTTTTAGAAATGCTAAGTCACTCTGTCATGCCCACCAGCACTTACAGCTTTGATGGTGGTGTCAATTAAAAGGTTTCTTTCCACATTCCTTAATCTCCAGATCTTTTCAGAGAGATTACACTTTAAAGGTCTTTAAGATTATCAGCAGTTTCCAAATTAAAGTTCATTTACAGTACCTCTTAAAATGTTCTGGACCGCTGGATTGTAACTTTTTCTACTCGATTTGTATATGAAAAGTTGAAATGACTGTTGAATGTTACCCTAATGATCTGAAGTGTTAAAACAGAATGAAATAAGTCATTGTTAGATTCGCTAAATTTGATGACAAATTGTACATTTGGAGGTCTTGACCTTACCTATTTGTAATGCATGAATCCACGAATACGTTCCATTTACTGCAACAAATTGCTGTAGTTGTCTTGGATCTGTCTTACAAAATTATTTTACGAACTTTATTTAAGAATTTATAAGGTTTAAAATTTTCCCCCTAATGGAAGGACTGAAAGGTTCTTTTTCTTCACAACTTTGTTAGATTTCAGACAGCTTTCCTCAGCGCTATCACTTTGGCTTGGAGCATGCACAGCCACTGAGCTGGCTGAGGAAGGGCGGTTGATACTTATCATAGAATCATAGAATCATAGAATCATAGAATGGTTTGGGTTGGAAGGGACCTCAAGGATCATCTAGTTCCAACCCCCCTGCCATGGGCAGGGACACCTCCCACTACAGCAGGTTGCTCAAGGCCCCATCCAGCCTGGCCTTGAACACTTCCAGGGATGGGGCATCCACAACTTCCCTGGGCAACTTCCTCAACTCCCTGCTTGGTAGGTGACACCAAGCATTTACCACAGCAGATGTTTTTCATAGAGGGCTGCAGATCCCTCATCCCTTCTCCTCCTTAGCAAACTGAACCTGAGACATTCTCCCCTGGACTACGCCTCCTCCCATTCATCATTTAAGGCAAGAACAGCCCACTAAGCGAGGATGCGGACAGTCCAATCTCCATCAGCCCAACACTGTAAGAAACATTATTTCTGCCATTAAAGTATCTTTCTTTTTTTTAACCCTCTCCATTCATTCAACATTGATCTTCAGAACAGCTGAACTAGACACCATCTTGCATTAGTATTCAGACCTAATAACTGATATAAAAGTAATAAACTTTTCCTGCTTTTCTATTTCAGGTTCCTCTATTTCTTATCAAAAGACAGAGTTTGATTTTTGGGCCACAGACTAGCGATGAAAACTCACGGTCACTGGTTATTTACTATGACTACCAAGTTCATGTCATAATCACTGACTGCCACAGCAGAGAGATACTTCTCCTAAGCGTGCATCATGTTTTGTTTCTACCTGTGCTTTTACACTTAGAGTACTTATATATCATGAAAGCTGAGTATTCAGATTGCGTTGTGTCAATAGTCTGCATAATTTTCCTGATTTTAGCCTTATCCATAAAATGCATAATTTTGATTCTATCTCTTCTTCTAGATCATGGAAAAAAGATTTAGAAATAAGAGGAATATCTAGACATACCTCTTCTTCAAGGAGGATTATCCATTCATATATACAGTCTCGAAGCGCATCAAACAATTCTGAATCCACATGCTGTTTGCCATTTCTGAGCATGTATTGTTCTACTGTCCTTAAGAACCATCCAGCAACAAGTCAAATACCTTAAAGTAATGCAAGTGTACTGTATAGCATAATTTTAACCAACCAACCATGTAATTCTGGCCCCAATGATATTAGGCTGGTTTTATTTTCCTTAAGACTGTGAATCATGGTCTTCATTGTATTTCATTCCTCTATTTGTTAGTCTACTCCATTATCAGTCATACCATCACTTTATTTGGGAACCTTTATCTTAAGACTTGGGAGTCTTTATCTTAAGTTTTATAATTACAATGACAGAGCATGAGTGAGAACCTCCAAGGTAGCAGGAACGTTCAGTTCAAAGGCAACAGAGGTGTTTGCCATGTCACTATATGTTAATGCATTTTTCTTATACATTATGCAAAAGCAAACATGTCATGTCATATATACAATTCTAATCAAGTTTGCCAGTACAAAAGCAGCAAGAGAAGGAAGAGACACCTATATGTTTTAGAAATACTTTTTTTCCTACATGGACAGTTTGTACTGAATCAAAAAGTTCAGTTATTCTCTGCTTTACGAGCCATTCTGTATGAGATAGCTTGAAATAATAGACAGAACCAAAAAAGAGTTTTCATTGTCAAGGAATTCAATATTCCTGCTTACAACAGTTTGTCCCCATTACATTAGATCATTTTGACCTTCAGAATCTGAGAATGCAGAATTGCTAACTCTGGTTTCTGATACTTCTAGCAGAGACTCACACAAAACCTCAAAAATTTCACTTGGGCTCAGTGTTTGCACAAAGATCAACTTGCCTCATACCCCAGGAACAGTATCTAAGCCCTTGTAACTAGTTCTAGTCATCCACTTCTTGAACAATTTCCTCTGGTAAGTCTTCAGGCCTTTTCCATGTCTTCTATCAGAGTCAAAATGACCATGGGGGCAAAATTAGTGCAATATTGAGCAGACAATGTAGTGTCAATTCCCATGATGCTCTAATATTCCAGTATCTTGTAACCATTTTGTCCACTTCAGAGAAATTGCATGCAGTTGTGATCACTATTAATGTTATATCCAGAATTTTAAAAATCTCACTGAGAGGATCCATTATCCAAAGTGGCCTCAGAGAGCTAAATCAATAGGATGTACTGGTTAAGCCAACTATAAATTATCACAGCCACTGGGATATTAAACAACTGAGTTATTCTGGAGACTCCGACATCTTTGTCCCTATGGACATCATTTTTCAAAAGCTTCTTCTTAATGATAATTAAAAACAAGTCAAAGCAACTCCTGCTCCCTAGATCAGTTGTCCCTTACGCGATTTTTGTCGGTTTTGCTGGGGTTTTTTGAAGTATTTAAAACTGCAGCCCTTTCATTGATTGCTGACCTAGCAGCCATACAAAAAAAATCACCTCTGCCTCCGATATAAAGGTATTTTACATGTGACAACCACTTCTACCCCTGCTTTTCAGAGATTTAAGACTGCCGTTTTACTTCTTGGGATGTGAACACATTACAATAGCTGTCCACAACTCCAGCTACCCCTGACTTGAATGGAAACGCAGCACGTGCTAGGCAGAAAGAGGGATGCCCTTCTTCCCTGCCTCTGTGCAGCACCCACCAGACACGTAACAAGGCAGGAAAACACGATGCCATCAAGTAACACTTGATGAAGGCCCCAGGCTGAGCCCTGTGAGAGGGGCGAGCAAGAGCAGCAGTGGTGGGACACGGCAACTTGTCCCCCTGAAGGAAGTGCCCAGGTTCAAAAGTCACTTTTCTTCAGCAACTTCAGGGAGAACGGTCCAGGTGACCTGATACCAGGCTTCCAGGGTGGATTTCTGCCTTCAAAGCATCTCCTCCACCCTGTATTAGCTCCTCCTGCTTTCCATAGAGCCTCAGGCCCTGAGGTGAAGGGTTGCAAAACTCTTCACGTACAACCAGACAAGAAGGGCAAAGTCCTACAGGCGGGGAGTGAGGGAAGGGGGGGGAAAGGGCCTCCAAAACCCGCAGGGATCCTTATTGCGCCTCCTCCTCGCCTGATAAAAAGAGGAAACGCGAAGAAGACGCTCGTTAACGCCAACAAAACACCGAGGTCGGCCCCGGGTCCCTGCCACACCGCCTCCATGTTCCTGCCACCCGGCCCGCACTGCGCATGCCCAACGCCGCCGCCACGGGGCGCGGGCCGGCGGCCGCTGTCGGCCGGATGGAGGAGGCGGAGGAGGAGGATGGAGGCCGGGGAGCCCCAAAGGGCCCGGCGGCATCGGCGGCGGCGTCCGACCGATTCGTGCGGTGCCTTTATGCGGTGGGCTTCCTGGTAAGCGGGGAGGCGGCGGGGTGTGTGTGTGTTGAGGGGGTGTGGTGTGCGTGCTGTTCCGGCGCGGCCTGGGACGGGGCGGCCGTGCCTGCCTGAGGGGAATCCTCCTCTTGCCGCCCCACACGACCCGCTTCCCGGTCGTGGTCGAGGAGGGGGCTGCCCCGCAACCGGCTGCGGAGCCGTGAGGTCCCCTCGGGGTTGGCAGGAGGCGCTGGGAGGCCTGAGGTCGGGCAGGGACCCCCCACAACCCCACACGCTTCCCCTTCCTCCCCGCTGGTCTTTGCCGTCCCACCGGCCCCGGGGCCTGGCTGCGCTCCTGGGTTTTGAGGGGCATGGCTTCACCCGCTTTTGGAGAGTTTGAATGTTTGTGGCCGCAGTGGTTTGTAGCCCTCGTCTTGTTCTTAACCTGCCGACAGTCGTGCAGCCTGATGGAGCAGTGGGTGAAATAGGGTCGCTCGGAGTGTCACCTTATGCTTATCAGAGAGTCCTTCCTTGTTTCCCCCATACACCGTCCTTAGTGTAAACTAACCCACATATATCAGTGCTTAGTGAAAACTAACTGTGTCTTCCCCCCCCACTCCCCCCC